CAAACCCTCTGGCACTCGGGACTCGAAAATGGGGGGGTAAATTCTGGCACTGCGAGTTCTGATGCATCAGAACTTGCAGTGCCAGGGGGTACGGAACCCCCTGGCACTGCGGCCACACTCGCCCGCCCAGGCAAGCTCCTCAAAGTCACCGCTGCATCCAGCCTCAAAGCGGCTCTTTTGGATGTGTTTACAGGTAGGCTGCACCCGGTGACGTCGGCAGCCATTAGCCTTGGCCTTGACTGCTTCGAGCCCTTCGACTTAGATGGAGACACTGCGCATGACATCCTGGATAATGAAGCCTTCGAGACCCTCTCAGACTCTGCTGGTCAGGAATCGTGGCCATGATAATGCTTGCCCCGCCTTGCAAAGAATACTCCAGAAACTCAAACTACGCCGCCCAAAGCCTTAAGGACGCCGCAGTACATGGACGGGGTCCCCGGCCTTTCGCCTTCGCAGCGTAAAAAACTGCTGGATAGCAAGACCATCCACGAACGTGGCAGAGCCCTGTTCAGAGCAGTGGTCTCCAACTCTTGGGGTGACCCGGACATGGCCCTCTTGCCATTTCTGCAACACGGGGTACCGACGGGAGCCGTGTCAGCCTTGCCACCCAGCCTTCAATGGCCGGCAAAGAAGCCAGACTCCGCGCTTCCGCCGGATCTGGAAATTTGTGAGGGCAACTGGAAAATGGCCGAGGACGAGCCTGAAACCGTGCAAGGCTTGCTGCGCAATGAAATTGCCAACAACTGGATTGTTGAACACCAGCCTTAGCATCGCCGAAGCTCGGGAAAAATGGCCCTTAGGCATTGCCGTAGGCAAGTTAAACGTTGTCTTTGCAGAAGGGAAAGAACCACGCCTTGTCCTGGACAGCACCGTGTGCCAAGTGAATACCAGATGCCATCTGCCAGAGCGCCTGAGCTTGCCAATGGCATCGGACCTGGCGTTGTCCACTCAACCAGAAGACACTCCAGGTGCCTTCATAGGCGCCAGCATTGACTTCAAAGCTGCACACAAACAAGTGCAAGTCCGCCCGGAAGAGCATGGCCTTCTACTCTTCGCCTTTCAAGGAAAGCTCTACCATTACAGAGTGTGCCATTTCGGGGGCCGTTTCTCGGCGTTCTGGTGGCAGCGCACTGGCGCATTCTACGACCTTTTGTGTGCACTCTTCCGGGATAGCGCTCCAGATATGTTTGCCTTGGTGGTGCTTTTCTTTTGCGCCATTGCAGCGCCCATTTCATGGAAAAAGGCGCAATTCCAGGACAGCCTTGTTTGGTGCGGTTGGGAGATCAACTTTTCCCACGACACCATTCAGCTTGTATCCGCTAAGCTAAGCAAGCTGGACGCCCTGATCAAAGCTCTGCTGGGTAACCGACGGGTACCCCGCAAAACACTCGAGCAGTGCATAGGCCTGCTCATTTGGGCCACCAGCATTGCCCTGCACCTCAGATCCTGGCTAGCGCCGTTGTATTCGGACCTCAACAGCCCACCAGGCTCAATGCACTCAATACCGCCTCAAATGTGGTCAGCATTTAGAGCATCCTTGAACAAGGATCTCAGAACTAGCCATAGCCTTCCGGGCTTGTGGATCACAGTGGGCTCCAAAATCCTGGAAGTTTCAGGTCGCACCATGCACTGCCCTCAGGACATCCCGCGAGTGCCTGGCACTAGCAAGCCCACATGGGTGCGCATCGCGGACCCTAACAACCCCTACACTAGCCTTTCCAAGTCAAGCCAACAATGTCTTACTTGGCTGGCGTCATGCTTTCGGCACTCGCCTGTTCAGCCCTTGGCGCGGCCACACCAGCTGCAAGCTCTGGCTGCCGCGGATGCGTGTGCCGAAGACGATTTGGTAGGGATCGGAGGCTGGGCAATCACATCCTCCCAAGTAGTTTGGTTTGCCGAGACCTGGAACATGCAAGACATACGAGCCGTGTGGCCTTGTCTTGTCAAGCCTGGACAGCGGTGCGTCGCATGCTTTGAGACGCTGGCACAGTTGGCACTGCTGCAAGCAACCCACAGCCACATTGGTGGTGGGCACTACTCGTTCAGCATGCCTTCAGGCACGGACAACTCCGCGACGGCAGCCAGCCTTAACAAGTTGTTCACGACCTCCTGGCCGTTGCAACTCTTCGTGCTCACGCTCATAATGACGCACGTCCCAGGAAGGTGCAACGACTGGGCAGACGACCTCAGCAGAGGTCGGTTGGCCAGATTCAGCCATCGCCCAGAAAGTCGTATACGCTTCAGCCCTGCGGGCCTGGCGATGTCAGGCCGAGGCATTCAGCTGTGTCCGATGCATGCGCCCTGGCGCCCGGAGCATTTGGCAGCAGCATCCGTCACTGCTTACTTAGCCGGCCTTATTTGCATCCTGACATGCCTTGCGACCAAATGGCCGCCGTCGCCCTGTCAGCCAGAACAACTGGCGAAGTCAGCCAGCCGCTTATATAAAGCCGCTCTGACCGGAAAAAGTGCAGCCTGCGTCACAGGCTGCTCACAGCCAAAGCGTGCATGGCCCCGCTAGCAGTTGCCCTGCCAGGTACAACCCCACTCTGAAGGGCGGGTGATGAGGCCTGCGGCTTATACCGGGGTTGCCTGAAACACTGAAGGGGGGGTCAATGCGCCTCCTGCTCCAGGCGCGCCAGTGCCCTGGAAACAGTGCTACTTTCAGCAATCCCGGTAAAAAGAACTGCGGCCGCTTCGGACGTGCTTTGTTCTTTTGGGGTTTCATGTTTGGGTTCAAGCTAGGAGCAGTGCAACATGCCTTAACGCTTAGGGTTTCTTTTCCCTTGTGTTTAGGGCATGTTGTGAATCGAACTACGCGTTGGCCATTTTGCTCCTAGCCTTGACCCAAACCTGCGGTTTCATTTGAAACCCACCCACCCACCCTGCACTGCCCTATACCAGGCTCTGCAAGTATAGGTGGCAGACACTCTGCACTTTCATTGGTGGCCTCCGGGCCTTTTGGTCTCCGGACCAGGTCTCCGGACCCACATTGGTCTCCGGACCTTGAGTCTCCGGACTCTCGGTCTCCGGACCTTGGGGCGTGGGCACGCATGCCGCGCCCCACCAGCACTGCATGTGCACGCAAGGACACGCATTGTCTTGCCTTTTCACATTTCGGGGGGTCAATGCGCCTCCTGTTCCAGGCGCACCAGTGCCCTGGAAACAGTGCTACTTTCAGCAATCCCGGTAAAAAGAACTGCGGCCGCTTCGGACGTGCTTTGTTCTTTTGGGGTTTCATGTTTGGGTTCAAGCTAGGAGCAGTGCAACATGCCTTAACGTATTGTTACATCACGTCAGGTTGGTTACTGGGGCAAACATGGAACTTGGAGAAGGCTTATTGCCAACTTGCAATTTACCCTAAATGGACCCACATTGCCATTTACCCTTACCTGCAATTCTGCCAGGCGCGAAATGTTTTCGCTCCCTTTTGGCGCTTTCTCCAGTGTGTTCTCCTTTACACGTTTGGCTTTGGGACTCAATCGCGCAGGATGCATAATCTTTAAATTCCTTTGGTCCAATTATCTTGATGATTACGCTGTTTTCTCCAATGCCGTTTTGCAAAAGGCCTGCAAGACTACCATCAATGCATTCTTCCACATTTGAGAAATCCAGACTAGCAAGTCTAACGAGAAATGTGTCTCGTTCGCTGAAGTTTTTGATTGTCTTGGAATTGCTTTTCTTCTGCTGACGAATTTGTTCAAAACACTTCTAAACGCTGCTTAGAATTATGCATGATGATCACCAATATTCTATTAGCAGACTTGCTCTCCTTCAAGGAGAGTCAATCCCTGCGATCCAGACTTTTCTTCGCAGAACAGCACCTTTTCGGAAGACTAGGGATGGCAACTCTTAAATCTTTGCTTGTGTACGAAAGCGTGAACCTGTTGCAGCCTGTTCCACAACACCTGCGCAGCGTGCTGTCAGCGATGCGCCGACGATTGACAGACAACCAACCACGTCCTGTGCCGCTTTCGCCCAGGGCGACCTGGCGTGTGTTCACGGATGGAGCACAAAAGGATCGCCTCCATTGGTGGCATCCTCACTAATTTCTTCGGTGCCATAGTCCCCGAATCTGCATTGTGAACTCCTTCCGGTCCTGTTTCCCCTTCTGGCCTGGGAATCCACCTTGAGCAACTGCAATGTATTTTTGCACCTGGACTCCGAAGCTGCGCGACATTGCCTTGTCAAGGCGACGTGTGCCCAGAAGCAGGCGCAGGAGATCATGAACGCTTTTACGATATTTGAGTCGCAGGCTGCAATTACTCCTTGGTTTTAAGATTATGCAGCGAGTCAAACCCGGCTGATGCCCCTAGCAGACAGGACTTTTCCATTCAGCTCTACTCAATGTCCACCGTTGTTTCCTCGGAACTTTTGCACGCGGTTCACTCCATTGAACCCCTGGCCTCCTAGTGAAGATGGGGAGATACCTTCGGCCCCGAAGTTCTTTTTAACAATGGGAAAACACAATTCCTGGTCCTCGTTATCTTTCTTTCGTTCTCATTATTCATGCCAAATTGGGGGGGTCCCCTACCAAGGCCCTCTTGTTCTCTTGCACCCATCATTTTCGGGCATCCAGATTTGTGTTCCAAGGGGGCTTTTAAAGGACAGTGTTTCCCTGTCTGATTAGAGGACAACTCCCCGTGCTTTTGGTAGGTCAGCGCGAGAAAAAGGAGCTTTGAGCGATCGCATTGGTGTGCGACACTTTCCACGGTGCCCTTGTCACTTGTTTGTCTAGGACGACCTAAATCTGGTTTCATAAACTATGTCCTCGCTTTCTTTTTCCTAGCAACAGTTGAGGTTCATAGTAGGTGATTACTGATTCTTCATAGGTGTGGCTCGAGAACGAAAAAGATAAATTAAACTGTCATTGCGTCTTCATGTTGTGGGTTTCTTGGCGACAAAATCAGCGCGTTCGGTCAGTGACCTGCAAGTAAATGGTGCAGTATTCCTCTCGCATGTGCTGCCTAAAACTGAGGCTCTTGCGCTTCTCGGAACCCCGCAGCTTTTGGCTAAGCACTTGGAAGCGCGCAGTCGCCATGTCGGGCTACCGCCAGGACCGTCAGCTCCCACACGCGAACCGCGTGGCGCGCCAAAACGAGGCGGGGTTGGGGGGCGGGGGACCGGGGTGGGTGCCAGGTGGGCATGACGAATTTGGGTGCCCCTTACACGAATGATCAATTTATAGTCTTGACTGCTATTGGGTTGGATATTTTAGATTTTAACTTTTTTGGGAAGTCAAGGGGTTTTCCACTAAACCCCCAAAAAGTTAAGTTTTTTGCGGGGGGTTCAACAGCAACCAAGTAGTGGACGTTTCCTGAACTTGTTTGACCCAATGATTTTGGATCTGAACCAAGTTCACCCGAAGCGAACCAAACATCGCCCACCTGGCATCCGAGGTGAGCTCGCGTCCAGGGACGGGGCCGCTGCGCCCCATCGGGAACTCCAGCGCGGGGCCGGCGCGTCGGCGCGGCCTGGAGAACCCGGTGACGGTGTTCATGCGGGAGATTGGCTTGCCGCAATACGCCGAGGCCGGGAAGCTACCAATACATCCCTCTTCCCGGGCCTCCAATAAATAGTCTCACCATTTGCTGGGGTATGTGTCTGGCGCAGGGAATCCGCTAGGTATGTCTTCCTGCAAATGGGTCAACACACAGCCCCCCGCTCCTTCCCAAGAATCTGCCAAAATGGGCAAACTCCGAGTAAAGAATTCAATCAGCACACATCTAAGTCATTTTTGTCGGTTCAGTAGTGGCTTAGCACCGGTTTCGTTTTGTCTAACTCTAATTTAGTATTGGGAGATTTGGAGTCTGGGAAAACTGCTTTCATTTAATACAGTGCATCTATTGATAGAGGGAAGTGATTGAACATTTTACACCTGAAGTGCTTGAACCCCTCCCACAGCTGAACTGGAGAGAATGTGTCATCCTATCGTTTGCACAAAAGCCCTAAGCTTTGCCCTTCAGACACACAGGAGGTTGGGGTGCCCTGTAAGTGGCAACTCACATTGACACCAAGAAATGCGTTGTTCCTTGTCAACGCCCCCGAACTCCCACTGTCCTCTGTCTTTGCTGCATGGGCTGGATCCTCTTTCGCACAAACGACAAAATGGCAAAACAGCTCTAAGTTGGTATCTCCCTTTTCCTTCAACAATGGTGAGCCCCCAGTGTGATGTTGAAGCTGTAGCCCTTGGCTCTCTTTTTCTTTGGATCAACGTGCCTTTCTGGGCAGAAGGTCCCTTGAGGCTCTGCGGGACAACGGTTTTGATGACATGGAGACCTTGATGGGGATCGAGGAGGAGCATATGCGTGACATCGGCATGGCCGTCGGGCACATTGTCAAGCTGAAGAGGCCAGGGCGGTTTGCAATCGAAGATTGCATCGCCGGCCTCTTTTTGGGCTAATTTATAGAATGGCAGAGGTTCCTACACCTTTCTGCTTCGGGTTTTAAGGCTGAGTTCCTTAAAACAGGAGACGATTTTGAGACGCAAAGTATGGACCTCCGCAACCAAAATCTGTGAGGCGCTTGCAGGAGCTCGAGTCTGCCCATGGGAACGCGCTGGCGCCGCCTCGCGCCTTGCAAGGCGCCGATTTCGCCGGATTTTTGGGCCGGATGGAGCGATCTTTGGGGGTCGGGAGTTAGGACCTGTCGACCAAATCCATTTCGCACCACTTGGAAATCACGGGGTCCAGTGGTTCTTTTGGTATACAGGGGGAATCGGAAACCGCTGGGATGCTGAACGGTGCGAAATGGATTTCGCAACCTTCCACGGTTAGGAAAGGTGTTCTCCATTTTTTTGGAGGGGTTGCCCTTTTGGGCGTTTTAAGGATGTGCCGTGCACCCAGAGGACATGTGCAGAAACGATCTTGGCCCAGAACTGCGAATGCTTGATTGTGACCTCGTGGTTTTGCTTGAAAGCCATCTAAAAATGGGTTCGACCCATTTTGAGACAGACCTGCTCCGTGTCGTCCAAAGCGATGAGGCGAGTTTTGGCTGCGTGCTTCCAAGTGGGACCCATTTTGTTGGGAAAAGGGGAGTGGGTCCGAAACTAGGGCACATGGCATGTGTTGAACCCCTTTTTGGATGGAGGGAAACCAACATGAATCCACCAAGGGATTTCCCTCATCTCTTTCGCATGGGAGAGCTCCTAGTTTGGTTTGGACCAAACCCATGGTGAAAATCTAGTGCAAACATGGGTCCCATGAAGTACAGATGTTGCATTTTCTCAGCCGAAGGTTGATTTAGACCCCTTCCGACCGCAACAGCTTTTTCGCGCAACAGCTTCCCGACTTCAGCCGCTTTTGAAGATTTCCCGACACCCACAGGACCTTTGGAGCGAGCTGGGTCAGAGTTTTCAATCGACCCCTTACAGATGACCTTCCAAAAGCAAGGCAGCCGGCTGTCTCGCCGCCGCGAAACTCTTGCAATTCTGAAAGTGACGTGTCTTGCAAATTTTTGTGGGATTGCGAGTTTCTTCTTTTTTCATGATGCCTGGGATGGGTGTTTTGGAAAGTTTTTGTGTTGCGTCTTGGCTTGGAAGCAAACTGTCTCCCTGTCAGTGATGTTAAAACCTGCACAGGAGCGCGTTTTTCAGCCTTTGCAGCTTTCTGCATTTTGTCGACCATGTCTTAGTCTTTGGTGACTTTTTTCCCGAACGTACTTACAGCATCATTGCCGAGATAGCGATAGGGCTCCAGACTTGCAGCTCCGCAGCTTGACTGCGTACTGACAAAAGAGTGGTGCGCGAGGAGGCCTCAAGGTCTGCGGAGTGGAGGGAGCAGCAGCCATGGGCGCGTCGAGACTGCAGAGCACACTCGCAGAAAAAGTGTGTACTGAGCGGCCAAAAGGAAAACAAACCTGCAGGAGCGAGATGCAAGTTGATGGGCCAGCGCACGAAGCTACAGCAAGTATAAGAGGGATGCGGACGCTGCTAGGGCAGAGAAGAAAAGGGGAAAGCGCTCTTCAATCAAAGCAACGCCTTGAACAAACTGAACCAAAGGGTCAGCAGGGGAGAGGCAAGCTATGCGATGAAGATCCTACAGATGCGCCACCGAAACAGAGAACAAACCTGCCAGCCCAGATCAACGTTAGGAAGCGAACGCAAGCCACCGAGCCGGAGAAGCAGAAGGAAGGAACGCATCCTGCGGTGCTTAACGTTGCGCGCACGACAACGCACTTGCCGTGCTTAAATGCTCTAACACCATCATGTGGGTTAAGCCGGTTCGAAAGCAAGCTGCGTCGAAAGTGAGCGCGCGCGCAACATGGGCCGAAAGGTGCGAGAATTCGAGGCAGCGTCAAGCGAACGTTATTAGCACCCCCCCCATCCCCCCCGAAATCAATCGAAAGACGCAAAGTGATGACAGTTCCACGGCGGCGAGCCAGCCGCTCTCCAAAAACAAGGAGGGCCAATGTGCTCTAAAAGGGCCCGCTATATATATTTATATATATACACATACACATATGTTTATGTTTCATTCGCAACGCGTGTAACTTGCCTGTTGACCTTATTCTTCTTTGTCGGGAGTGTGGTTGAATCTGCCCAAATTTATGAGTCGGATCCTAGGATTGAAAGTCAAAAGGCTCACGCCGTGTCCTCGAAAAGCCTGTCCAAAAATTGACACCCCAAAAGTCCTGGGTGTCCAACTTGGTTCCACCTGGGGTACACCAAGAGACTTGGATTTCCTGGTAGGCAAAGGCTTTGCGCCCTGTGGCACCACCATGACTGCGGTGCAGATGAGCTGGCAGCAGGTGAAGAACTTGGGCACGGAGGTCGTGGGCGGCCTCTTCTACAAGAAGATCCTTGGTGTTTGAAGAACAATATGGCCAGGGTTTAAATCCAAATCGTACCCCCAGTGAGCATCCCAATCCCCACTAAAATAGACTAAAATGGGTGGTGCACCTACCCAAAATCCAAAATGGTACCCTTGGTTTTGACCCATACCCAATATGTTGGCGTGGTTCCATTATTGAGGTGAACCCCTGAAGTTTGGACCAGCGTGGTTTTTGCGTCGTGGAAGGTTGGTTTCATGGCCCTTCTCTGGCGAGGGAGGCACCTGAACGTGGCAAAGCGGCCTTTGTAACTTGCAGTAGCGATGGGACTTTGGTATCGCAAGGGCTATGTTCCACAACTATGTTACGTTTCCAGAGACGTTTGTGAATTGTTTGTCAGAAGCCCGGCCAAGCGTGACCGCACGAGCTCTGCAAACGACACATACTCGGAGGCGTGCCAGTACTGGCAAGATGCAGAGAGCGGTTTGGTCTTTGAGCCGCAAGTTTGTGTTCAAGCTGCGCCCGCCCGCTGCCATGCCCGAGTCCATGGAGTCGTTCCCGTGGGCGGCGCAGAGAGCCGCGCCCCGCATGGTGCACCTGAAGCCGGTGGTCCCGCTCTGTGATCGGGAGCTGCTGGGCTGGCTGGCGCAGCTGGGGGTGCAAACGCTCACACGCATTTCGGAGGAGGAGGTGGCGCTGGAGGCAGAGGGAGGGAGGCATGTTAAGGCAACTGCCCGGATTATCTCCCATTTCAGGCACCAAGGCCATACTAACATCCTTCGCCACTTGCCAGGTCCTTTCTGGGATTCACATTTGGCTTTCAGAGACCTGTTCTGCGCAGATTTGGACGAGAAACCAAGTTCCAAGTGGCCCAGGTGTCGAACCAGCACACCATTGACGGCCTCTTGCAACTCAAGGGCTTAGGCTTGGGCCCCTTTCGTCTTCAGGCGGGAAGGGAGGAGGGGATGGCTCCTCGTCTTTTTTTTTTGTTGCAGGGTACCCGGTTTTGGTGGGTTTTTAAAGCGATGCAAGTAAAACCACTGAGGGCCTTGTTGAAGCCCCCGTGAGGGTTGATGTCCTTTGCCACTCGAGCCAGCGGAAGCTTCTTTCTTGAAATGTTTGAGAACACATATGGCTGTGGCTAAAAACATGTACACAAATGGCACCTTGGCAAATGGAACCAAAACCAAAAACCTGTGTAACCCTAACTATTTATATAGTTTTGAGCCACGCCCACATGCAGGTGAAAGGAGGTGAAAGCGACATCCCCATGAGATCATAGCGGTATGGGATTTTATTGATGGTGCCAGCCGCTATTTCTGCGCAATTACACCTTACGCCGGACTGTTGCGTGTGTGAGCTCTTATCTATGCATTTGCAACTTGAGACATTCCATTGATGCGCGTCGGGTGCTGTTGCGGATTTGAGGGGGTGGGCCTGGGGGCCGAAGCACTTGTGCATCAACCGGAAACGTTGTTTTGGCACGCTTGGCTCTTGTCGATGTGTAGCCGTCCACGCATAGAGGAAGGGTTGGCAATGATTTCTGTCAGAAGAGAGAGGGCGCACCTCCGATCTTGCTTCAAGGTCACTCCCGTCTGGGCTGGTTGCAGTGTTCGGTCCCATGGTTCCACTTCCGTCCTTTCCGCGGGTGGCGGGTGTCGCGGGCAGGTGGCCTTGGACGGTCGTTGGCCACAGATCAAGGCTGAGCAGGAGGCCGTGTGCGAGTCTGATGTGGAAGAGCGCGCCTTTTGGCGTGCAGAGCCGCTTTCAACATGGCAGCTTCCTAAAAAATACATTTGGCTAGTATACATTTACGTTTTTGGCGGGAGGGGGAGGGGGCAGCGGGAGCGTTGTCGAACATATTGCCTCTATTTTGGGTCGGTGCAGCCTTGTGCCGCACCAGAAAGGACCCCGAGTTTGACATCGCCCCATGCATTTGTTCAACAGCGCGTGAGCAAATGCATGTGGACAGCCTTTGTCAAGTACGACTACGCACTATGTCTTTAATATGTGTGTGTGGTGCTTCGCTTCCGTTTCGTACAGCGTTTCGCCATCCCCTCTTCATAGCCTCAGAATGTGTCTCGCTTGTATATTTAATTGTAAGCGATTCTGAATGATGGAGCTTTGTGCCCAGGATGGCAGATGTTGCTTCTTCTTTTGTCACGTTGATGTTCAAGTGCAACCTTTCACTTTCTGCGCGCGGACCCCCCCACACGCATTGGATTGATGTATATAGATTTGGAGGCCTTTCCAGCAGCGGCACAACACGGTGCATGCCTCATTCATCTTTGGGTCAAAGCGGATGGCTTTAGCCCAGCGGGGTGCCGAGCTGCACCCAAATCAGCAACTTGTGGAGTGTGTCAGTGGCTTATGAGCTCCAAACTGCGGCCCAAGGTGACTCCACCCACTTGGCACTAGAACGTGCTATTCAACTCTTCTGCGAAAGGAAGCCCGCAGGAGGCTGCTTATTTTGCCAGACAATGTGCAAATCGGGCGGCTGGCCACCCTGCATGTTGAACCAATTGGGGCAATTCGTGGAGCCAAGATGCCTGCTTGCCCCTTTGTTTCCGTGGGTTCTTCAAATATGGGTGTGGCTCAAAATTAAACGATCGGAGGGGCCAACCGCAGGTTTTGGTCCATGTTTCCACTTCCCAGGGCAAGCCATTTTGGTTTTTTGAGCCGCAGCCATATTTGGAAGTTGATCTTTGCCAGTGCCCTTCAGCTGACCCGCTTTCGCCCAGGCCGAGACCCTCATGAACCAGTTCCTGTCGGAGGGAACCGAGGCCGTGCCTTAGTGAGCGCGGGTGCTCAATTGTCGGCCAGTGCAAGAAGCACGGGGGAAGCTGTCCAATCTGTAGTCTTCCAATTTGAGACATTTCCATGCCTACCTGGGGACGTTTTGCTGTTCTTTGTAGTTGTAGGCAAGTGATGGCTTCCCTCCAGTGCCGGCAGGACGGGGTGGCGGGCATAGTGGCTGCTCCAGATGTGCCTCCTTTTTGGAAACAAGCTTATCCATTTCACTTGGGGAGGTGGTTCATACAAGCCACGACGATTTGGTGCTTCCTTCTTTGGCCCTTGGTGGTTCTCAGCCTTAGACAATGAGAGGGGCAGATCGAGGGGCGAAGCAGCGGTCCTCCAGCCGTCCTTTGCCGTTCGCTGTTTTTTTGAAACACAGCTGAGGTGTTTTTTGTTTTTTGACCGGACCGGCCCGCAGCAGCACGGTGTCTGATGGAAACCGGACTTTGTTTGAAACAGCAAAACAATGTCGATTTTGCTGAACCGATGCAAGGATTAAAACTCAATACTTCACTGGTTCACGAGTGGGACTCAATCCGCGGAGTTGCCGTCTTGGCATTTGTTCCGCTGCGGAGGCTGCACGGAAATAAGCTATGCGCATTGAGCTGATTCTGCTGCAGAGAATCAAGCTCTCAAATGCGTGATTTTCTGGGGGTGACTGCCTCTCCACGGGGTGGCCATCCCACCACTTGCCCTTGAATGCTCCTACAGCCAGATCCATGCAAGTGATCAGAATGTGTTTCTCAACTATGCAAGTCAGACAGTTGGATTGCTCCTGATCTTGCATGGAATTCTGGTTGTTTCAATGAGGAGTTGCTCGCGCATCTCCTCCCACTCCGAGAGTTACACCAGAACCGTTCCAAGAGGAAAAAGTTGGCCCAGCATAGATGTTGGAGTGTTGCCGAAACGAGCCTTCGGTTGCTTAAAAAAGGAAACCAAAGGAAAGTGACGCATTTTGGGCGGTACCCCCATTTTGCGACAAGCCCACATGAGTCGGTGCGGCCAAACGTGTTTCATGGGCGACCTCTGGGCGCCTCTGGTTCCCACAATTGGAAGACCTCTAGGGCAAAGGACGTCCCGGGTAACTTTTGTCAGCTTCTTGAAACTGGGCTCCTTAAAAGATACATTTTGCCCTTTTGAAACTGGATTTTTCCACCAAAATACAGGGAAACCACAAGGCAATGTCCAGGTGTATAATGTAAGGAGTCCACTCGAGAAGGAGGACTTCTGAACCTCTTGGGTTCGGGCTCCCGACCCATGTTGATATATGTTGATCCATTTTCGGACCCTACTGGTCTCGGCGAAGGGAGTGTTTGGGACTCCGGCGGGGGTTTCGTTACGGTTTGGCAAAGTGGGTCAAACATATGGCCATGGGGCATAACCTGCGGCTCCATCTTGGGGTGGATGAACATCCATTTGCCACCTTTGATGTTCACCAGGGGTAGAGGGTTTTGACCCACCGCCATATGGCTCTGTCTCAAGATTGGACGCTTTGTTGCGACGATTCCGAAAGGGACAACCAAAGCAAAATCAGCCACCAGAAGGGTCTCCAGATTTTGTTTGGACCACCCTTTTGCAATTGTAGACCTCTGATGGTGCTTCTTTCGTTTGGCGGTCCCTAATTGTGAGATGTCAAAGTCGGGGGTTGAAGGGATAAGAAAACAACACCACCAAAACTGAGGTCCCCAATCTTCTCGAAACAACAACCATATGGGTGTGTCTCAAAATGACGCCACTTTTAAAATGGGGGGTGGGTCTATTGCTTCGAGTTCTTTTTTCTTTTTCGAGCCGTTTTGCTTAGACTTGAGACAAGACCGCAGGAAGTTGGACGAGCCAAGGTTCTTCATGTTGGAGCCCTCCGCAAAGTCGCTCTTCCCCATCTCCGTGCGCCTGCGCTACAAGGACCGCGTGGAGCGCGCCGCCCGGGGCGACCCCGGAACGGGCGACCCAAAAGGTGCCGTTCCAACACCCCCAACCCCCCCCCAAAACCCCCTCCCCCACGGTTCTTTTTCTGGGAGGCTTCCGTTGCCGAAGCGCTGCAACCTTTTTTTTTGTGCGACTCTAAGCGTAAAAGTAGAAGGTCCGGATCGGTTTTGAAGCGTCGATGGCAATGAGGTGCGTCGTCCTTCTGAGGACCTAAAAGCACCTAGACAACTAGTTTTTCAACCAATAGGCCTTTAACCTGGGGGTCAAGCATGTGACCAACGTAGCTGAGATGCTTAGTTGGCTGGTATTGTATTGGTCCATGTTGCTTTGCTATTGGTTGAGTATTGGTATGGGTCTATTACGGGTCAAGGAGTTGGTTCTCGGTTTTTGCATGACTGTTTTACATTGGCGCTCGATGCTTTTGATTCATCGGTTCAGGCAAACTCACTGCCGGAGTATTGAATCCAAATTTGCCTGATGAGCCGGAGGTCTTTCCTTGGGAGGCTTCTGGGGTAGGTTAGACCCGTTCTCCAAAAGGCTCATGTCGAGGCCCATTTACTGACTCAAAAAGGGTTCAGGCAGGGTCTCCCCTTTTCCTCACCTTCGCAGGTTTTTGCTTCCGGAACCCCTGTGGTTTCTCAGCATGGTGCCCTCTTTGCGGGTTTTAAAGGGAACCTTTTTCTGGCAACAGCGTCAAAAGGGCTGCTATTTGAACATCTAAGGCCAAAGTTGAGAACACCTTTCCTCGCTGTGGATGGACGAAATCCAAGAAGGGCAGTACCTAAGAAACCCTGGAATGATGTTTCCCCTGTAAATATCAATAAACAATGGTATCCCATGGTTTCCAAGTGCTGCGAACTGGACTTCTTTCGTCCATCCACAGCGTTAGGAAACGACAAGCCACTGACAACAAGCCCACCGACCAAGCCTCAAAGCCAAGTTGACAACTACCTAAGGCCAAAACAAGTTGCTAGAAAACGACCAGAAAACCAAGCAACATTGATTGCAGAGCAACCCCTCGGCCCCCAAAAAGGGACTAAAAACAAAACAAACAAAACCCAAAGTAACAAGGCGGCAACCCCTAGGCCTTAAACAATCGGCTCGAAAAGGCAAAAAAAACAAGTTCGGCGGCAGGACTGGGACACGGAGGAGGAGGAGGGCGCGGACCCGGCGGAGAGCCCGGCGCTGCGCAAGCTCTGGGCCAAGTTCGTCACCGTGGTGGGCTCTGCCGTGGCCGGAATCCAGGAGCTTCGGTCGGGGACACGCCGTGGCGGCGGAAGCGGGGGGGAGGGGGGGGGGTTCAGGGGGGGTGGAGGGGAGGGGGGGGGGCGGTGGAAGTGGGGTTTTCAAATTGAGAGTTCGGTGTGTGTGGACTTGCGCAATGAAGCAAGAACCCTGAGTTTCGACGCATGGGGTGTGCCATTGAGACAATCCGGATCACTTTGGGGAGTACCTACCTTGATGAATCCCGAGGTTCCATTCCCAGTATTCCCGTATTCTGTTCGGGCTTTGTTTGGAGGAAAGATCACCAGGGAAGCAAATTCAGGGGGGGCTCCGATATCCGGAAGGACACCACGAAGCTGGTTCCCATGTTGCAGCAGCTGGGCATGCGGCACGTGAACTACGGGCTGAAGCCAGAGTACTTCAACCTGGCCGGTCGGGTGCTGATTGAGGCCGCTTTGTCTTGAAGCTAAGAGAACACGAAGGGGGGGGGGGGCCAGACATTTTCATTTGGATATACAGCCTAAGGGAACAAACCACCGTTTTTTCGGGTGGTTGGGTGGGCGTGTGATGAAATTGGAACCCCAACCTCTGACTTGTCAGCCCCCGAAAAAGGGAACCCCCCGCCCCAAAACGAAAAAGACACAAAAAATGCAAAATTACAAAAAGGGAACCCCCCCCAAAAAAAAATAGTAAAAGGAGAATTCAAAGAATTATTCTTTCTACTATTTTTTTTCCAACAGCAACACAACAAACAGAAAACAAAATCCAGAACAACAAGCAAACAAAATAAATAATCACAACCAGCAACAAAAATATTTAATCACAGCATGCAACATTAAATAATTCAAACAAGCATACCAACAAAACAGCAACACTCTAAATCATCAAAGAACCCAAACTCAAAAACACACATCAACAAAAAACAAAGCAACATACCAACAAAAAATATCACAAGAGTATCAAACAAAACAAAAACAAACAGCCAAAGCACGAAAAAACTGAAGAAGCATACCAAGTCTAAACAACGCACTTTGAAAGAGATAAGCAAATTAGGAAAATATAATAATTCAATCTTTACAAACGATAAATATATTACAATTATAACATATAATATTTTACATGTGATAATCATAGTATGAGTTCAACTTTATTCTAATTAATTTTAAAATTCTCTTTCAATTCGTTTCACTATTTTATCAACTGTTTTTTCATTATACATATTATGTCCTATTTCTTTTATAAACACCTTCATTACACTAATTGCATGTCTTGCTGTGTATCTAAGTTCGTGAGCTTCATACTTACAATTTAAAAACTCATTTACAAAATCAAAGCCATTATCATTCAATGCTTCGTATTTTAAAAGTTTAATGCTAAAAGACATATTGTATAATCTTTTTACCATTCTATAATACTTATAAATAAAACCATTCACATATCCATTATCTAATAAATTATCAAATTCTACTTCAGTCAAGAACTTATTCATTTCAATAAAAACAAATATTTCTAAATCATCATCAAGAGTTTCAGCATTTCTAGTATCAAAATCTCTGTTGTTCATATCATCAATTTTGTTTATAATTCTATTACAATTAGTGCATATCATACATTGACAAATATCATTACTAACACCATCTATAAAACCCTGTTGAATTGTTAACTTTAACATCTCACAGTCTTTACATTTGTAATTCATAAACTTTTGTTTCAATATATTTTTAACATCAATATCTTCATGGACAGTATCATTAAATTCGCTATACACATTTTCTATATAACTATATTCTCCATATTCACTTTCTGCATCGCTCATTTCTATCTTAATATATTAAGTCAATATTTCTTTAAGTCGTTTTCAATTAATTTATTTTATAATGGCCGTAAGCAAGTGAGTTTATACTATCTATCCAATATTTTTTGTTTTCATAACTACAAAGAGCAATTTTTTTAGTTGCTATACTAAAAATTCTGTGGTTTTTACTTCTAATACTATTAAATGACTTATGTATAACCTTATTAGTTTTTAAAACCGTCTCAAACTCTTCATATTTCATTTGACGTCTTACTGTGCCTTTTGCTATGCCCTTACATTTCTTATATTTTTTTTTATCATCACCATAAACTGAGTAAGCATAGCATTTAGGACGAAGAGCTATAAACCCTGTTATTATTTTACTTTTTAATTCATCCTTAAATTTACCTAATACTTTCTTGTTATTCTCATCATAACATTTATGTTCCTTAGGATAATCTGAAAAATCTATTTCTTTTTTAATTGTATTCAGGTCTTCATAAATGTCATTGGTTTTAGTATGAAATACAAAACTATCAGTATCAGTATATACCATTTTAATATTATCTCCATATTTAGGCTTCATAACGTCATAATAAAATTTATACATGTGTTGCTTACTCAAATCTAAAATACTCATCCCAATAAATATAGGTTTGTCTAGTTTCAACTTTGTTTTTTGCTTTTCAACTCCAACCAAATTTTCATTAATGATATAACTATGTTTGAAGTTAGGATTACTTACACACTTCATATATCTAGTTTCATCACTCACAACTTCAAAGTCTAAATGTTTTCGCTTATCCTCCATTGTTTTTCCAAATATGGCATTGTTCATCAATTTATAAACATCTTTCTCAAAATCATTTCTAGCATTCTTCCTCTTCTCAGTGTTAAACTCAATGTACGGTTTAAAACTTCTTTTTGTTCAAATTTAATTGCTCTATGAGTTTTCTTAAGTTTTAACCCTTGCTTCAAATAAAATTGTAAGGTTCTTATATGGATTACATATTTTTCTTTATCATTTAAATTCAATACTAATTTATTTGTTTTCTCATCCGTAGGTTTTTTATGATTTAAAAATTCATAAATTTCAATTTGTTTATCTGACAGCATGTTGGCTTTAACATTCATAACCTCAGGTGCCATTGGATAGTCATTGTGTAAATCGTGTAATTCTTTAGGATATTCTAAATCCACTTCTAGAATATATCCAATATTATTATTTTTGTAATTAATAATGTCTTCTTCTTTTAATGTATCATCCCATTTTAGATTTTTATATGGCAGTTTTTGTATCATGCTTAACCCGTACAAATTATTAGCATCAAAATAGTTAATATAACTACTTTCTTTATTTTTATCATATTCTTCACCCATGTATTTATTGTTTGCTTCAACGTTTTTAGTAGAAACCATACACATCCCTCCTCTAAGTCCTGCTTCTATCATTTCATACATTTCTTGGTCATATATTAAATCAATCTCTACACCAGTCATTTTAAGCATAGCATCAAAAGCAAAGTTAGGCAATGTATAATAATAAGCAGGGTCCAATCCATAATATTTCATACATACATCTCTAAAATTTTCGAAAATGTCAGTCAATAATAATACATCAGTTTTCAAATATAAATCATGGTATTCACCCATATTCTTAATGTCAAAATGCTTCCATATAATTTTTGCCCTTTCATAGTCGTTAACACTTATACCTTCTTCACTCAACTGACTATAAAAATCATCCTTACTCGGTAATTGCTCATCATCAAATTTATCAAATGAATTCATGTAGTCATAAGGATAAACGCCTTTATCAGTTAAAAAATCTAGACATTTCTCACTCTTAATCACATCATTTTACTACTGAACCTAAAATTATCTTTCCAGTTTTCACGCAATAACCATTTACTTTTATCTTCTTCATCTGTATTATCATACTTACTCATTGAAACTAACTTATCTAATGAAGCAGTTAAAAACCCAAAAGTGTCTTTAGCACTCAAACTTTCAAAACTGATATTAATAAATTTTTCACTGTTCTGAGCGATGACATCTATTTTATTGTTGTTACTTAATTTATCCGCATTTTGAATAATTAAATGACCGTCATAATTTTTCATGTTATGAAAGAATACAGGAATTTTAAAATATCTATTACAAAAATTAAGATTGCAAACATTATGAGCACAACCTCTATACTTACCTGTAAAATGACAATGGTCTCTAACTTTTTTATATTTCTCTGCTTCCTTGGCATTCTTATAGTTCATTCTAAACTTGTCTCCACAAATAAAGCAGTTTTTAGCATTTTTAAAATCTTCTTTGTCTTCATCACTCATATCTATTTTTTTGTTTTCTCCCATTTTATTTTTTTACTTCTGTCCTAATCTCATTAAGTTTTTGACAAAACACATCAACAGCATCTTTACCACGATACATAAATTCATAATTTGTATTATCAACAGCATTAACCATATTAAGCATAAAACCACATGGTTTATGCTCTTGATAAGAAAAAGTGTTTTTATCTTCATCTTCATCAGGTTTTTTCAGTTCCTCTGTCAAACATTCAAAATCAGCATATACAACAAAAGGACATCTTAACTTTTTGAAGTGATGCTTAAAACTAACTTTCTCATAAGGCTTAGGCATTACTATCTGCTGTCCATCAACTTCCATACATCCGCTATCATAATGTTTATTTAATAATTCTTCATTTCTAAATCCATGATTACAATATTTACAAAAATAGGACTTACCATTATGATTACTTTTTTGATTATTAATAAGTCTGCTCAAACTTTTTATATACACATAATGACTGCAATCCTCATCATCAACTCTTAATAAATCAAAATGAAAAGACGCATCTGTATTTTTCAATTTTCTACTAATAACAATTTGTTCATTATCATCAATTTCATAAACATTAATGGATATTGATTTATTATTTTCTTCAAATATATCTATATCATTATTATTAGCAGGAAAACTCACACCATCAAAAATCAAATCACTTTCTATCTTCTTGTAATGAAACATCTTTTCAGGGTGTGCTTTATCACAAATTTTACAATATCCACACTCAATAGAATATTTAAAACACTTGTCATCTTGATTTTTAATATTGATACATGCCTTTTTCTTTTTAATCCATTCTGGAAGTTCAATATATTTGCCAGCTCTAGTCGGATTATATTTATTATACATGATATGAATATTATTAATATTGCTAATTATTAATCCTGACTGATACAAAGCCATATCTAAAATTCTTGTTTCAACATCAGGTCTCATTCTTTTCAAAGCATTCCTTAAATCCTCTTCATTTACAATAGTGTACGACCTTGTCCTAACTGTTACGTTTCTCTCCTCATCAAATAAGTTCATAACTTTCATATTTATTGTAGCATTAAGTTTCATTCCTCTATTCTCTTTCAAGTATTCATTAAGTTTGTCAAATTGATAATTAAAATAAGTCAATCCGTTCAACTCTTTTAAATGAATGTTTGAAATTGTGTAGGCGTTGGCATATGCTCTAAAGGCGCTTCTTTCTTCTGTTATTACTGCTTTTTTCTTAATAGCATGTTTTAAAACCGTTCTTGCTCCTACTCTTTCTCTGATTTGATTTGCTTTGTAGTCATTAGTTTT